TAAATTAAGTATTTATAAATAAGTATTTTATGATTTTAATTCTACTGATTAATATTAACAAATCATCTTTATACTCACGGACTAAATTAATATGAATGAAAGAAATGATTTGAAGAGTATTAGATAATTAATTGTAAATAAGTAGTTAGAGATAAGTAGATACAAATAAGTATTTATGTTCAGAATTTTAATTCCACTGATTAACGTTAATAAATCATCTTTATACTCACCCACTATTTGAAGTATATTAGGTAATTAATTGTAAATAAGTATTTAGAGATAAGTATTTTTGAATAAGTATTTATGTTTATGATTTAAATTCCACTGATTAACATTAATAAATCATCTTTATACTCACGCCTCTTTTTATTTAACAGAACAACCTATGCTCTAATACATTTTATATCTGACTTGTTGGAGGCTTTATGCTAACACGTCAGTCTTACTTAGATCAACATATGCCCAAAAACAACAAATAGAGTTACGTTTACCATTACAGTCTAAAATATTTTAAACTACAAACGCAACAAGCAGAATCACGTTTATTGTTTAGACCAACCAAAAACGTTTAAAACCACAAATTCAAATTTAAATTAGAAAGAAGATTATCGTTATTAGACCCATCCCCAGGATTAAATTGATTGCACTCTCCTTCCGATATCACGTGGATCGATTCTAATAAAATATTGCATATATCTTGACTATTTGATAACTTAATCTTCCTCACGTTTACTACTAGGGTTGAACAGTATATTGCCTTCCCAATTGGTAGTAACGACTATGTTAATTTAATATAAGTATGAAGTCCTGAAGCATTTAATCTGTAGTAATTTAGTTAGTAAGCCTAAGGCAGTTGAAAGTAAAATTTCTGCACAAGAGGAAGGAAAAAGCAAACATGTAGTGTACCATTATCAAAAAATTTATCTTCTCACTATAACCTTTAACAGGTATTATTTATTTATTATTCAGTAAGAAATCCTGACTCAACCCAAATAAAAAAATAAAATTTCAGAAAATAGATACTGTATGATTCTACTCATAAAATATCAAAAAATAGGTTTCCATAATTATAATCATAATCATAATTCTATCACAATAATTATGGATCTACGTAGTGAAACATAAAGGAAATTGCATAAATTGAAAGGTGTCTAAAACTAAATAGTATTTTATGCTATCAAATAATTTCTAATTTATATAATCAACTTAAAAATTACGATCCCAAAAGTTAAATTTGATGACATAAAAGCGGGGTTATAATAAAATTTTAATTGCGTACGTGGAATTTGTAAAAAATATATATATAATTAATAATTTTAATAATAATTAATAATTTTAATACGTATGAGAATTCCTTCATGAAAATGTATAAAAATCAACTGCATAAGGAAAAAATTTGTCACACTACATAATCACATTAAGGCAAAAGAAAGAATATGGTTAATAACTTATCTAAACTAATAAATACAAATTTAATGATAACCCAGAACCTACTTCAGAGCCTCTTCATAACTTATCCAAAAAGCTAGATTTCTGTAATTCAAGCTTTATTACGTAGTAAAATAACTAATCGGCATTCATATAGTTTGGTTTTTGAAACAATGTGCTAAATAAACTATCCAACTTCCATTTTGCGTTATTATCTACTGCTGGATGCACATAATTACTTAATAAATCACCATCCATATTATCTTGATCATTTTCACGTTCTGCTTCTTCATCTTCAAGTCTAGAAGTTTCTTCATCCATTAATATTTGCTCCCAGTCATATAATTGACTTTCCTAATTATCTAATGTTGTAATATCTAAATCATGTGGTTCGATATCTTCCAAGTTATTTTCTTCTTCATCCAGTTCATTTGAATCATTCTCATTCAATCTATTTAGTTCAGTTAATTCACTTAGATTATTTAGTTCATTCAGTTCAGTTAATTCATTTGAATTTGTTAATTTATTGGAAAGTAACATGTTAGTCTGATTAAATAGGTTATAGGTTTTATTTTGTTTTTTCGTTGAGAAAAGTTAATTGAAGCGCGAATTTGGCTCATAGCTAATACTTTTTCATTCTATAATTTATAAAAATTTATTATTATTTTTTTTGAAAAAAAGAAAAAAAGAGAAAACCTACTGGGAGACGATTTCGTTTGTTAGTATAAAGAAATCCCATTGAACTCCATAATCGTTCTACAGATGCCACATTTATACAGATTCCAAATAGTCGCACAGCCAAGGGACCTAATTCTTTAACAGATGAGGAGGCAAACTCCCAAAATCCTAAAATATTTCCTTCAAATTGCTCATATGTTGGACGATCGAATAGATAATTGCATTTTCTATATTTTTTATATTCAAGTAGAATGCAAGTTGGCTGGTGTCCAAACCATGCCTTATAATAATAGGTAATAAATCGAGCAATATATGTAAAATTTAAATTTTCAGTATTAGAGTTGAACCATATATCACGAATATTCAGGTTTAAAAGAAATGCTAATAATAATAATGGCTGCTCCCACTGTTTCCACCTCTGTTCCAACCGTAAAATTATGCACTGTGCCAAATATTGATCAGAATATTCCTTCCACATTTTTAAAATTCCACCAAAAGCTTGTAAAACTTCATTAAGACGAGCAGTGTCTGACTGCAATTTATCGAGAGCTTTACAATAAGGATGAAGTAATGGATATAATCGTGTTATTGATTGCCAAAAACTATCACTAAGTAAAATTGATGTTATTTTCTGTGGTAGATAAAGTTCATCCAGATGAATTGAAGCTTGATTAGTTTCGTCATCAGAATCATAAGTCAAAGTATCTAAAGGCAATTCGTGCGCAATTGCTAAATTCTTTAAAAAATAATATTTAAAATTAATAAATTTCTAATAAAATACGCCCATAATCTCGTGAGTTAAAAAAAAAATTAAGAATGCATTCAGATTTATTAGTAAGTATAGGTAGTCTATAAAACACTTACTCTCAAAGCTTGACGAGACTTTAGCAAGCTTTTAAAACAATAACAATACGAGTTCCACTGAGTGTCAGCTAGACAAATCAAGGTTATATAATTATTATATATTTGTTTTTGGATTTCTCGAAGTTTACCAATAAAATATGAGTGAATCGCATTATTAAAATATGCAACTATAGTTATTGCTTTTTTAGACGCAGTCTTGAATTCATTAGATTCCTTGAAAATTTCTCCTATAGCAAGATTACATTGATGAGCGAAGCAGAGGAGAAAAACAATTTTTAGATATTGTAATCTTAATCATCGCCTATTAAAGATATTATTAGTTGTGTTAATTAAACAGTAACTTTCTCTATGCTAAACAAACAGTTTTAATATAAAATATTTTCAAAAATTTAGCAAATAGTAATATATTATGATTGTATGCTAAACTTATAACAAAATTTAAAGCTCTATATGGAGTAAATTTAGTATACAATATTCAGCGTAGAGAGTTAACTGTATATATATTTATTAATATAGGATCATACTTAGGCCATTCAAAGTTGATTAGTTGTTTAACGTCAAATATTTTGAGCCCAGGCTCGAGGGGGGATAATGTTAAACAACTATTCAACTTTGAATAGCCTTATTTGTATAAACGGAAAGTTTATTCATAACTCCTATACTCATATTGTGGTACTATACTTACCTGGCACCAGAATATGCTGGTGCACTATCAGAAACAATAGCAGATAAATTGGCTCCTATCTTTGATGCATCCTTTATCATAAATTCTACTTTAGGGATTATCTCAATCATTCGTTCTCGCTCTGAGCTTACATCAATTGTATCCCAAATTAAGACTTCTCCACTTGATAAGATAAATAAAGAGCCAAATATATGTTGTTTCAATACATTTTTCCATCCATCAAATGCTAATGTAACTCCAATGCTATCTTCTTTTAGTTTTTGCTCACGTGACATATCCAAGTTGACACTTTCACTATTAAGAATGCGATTAGATAGAGCATCCCAACCAGGAAGAACAAGGTTTGGATTTAAAAATTCAAAAAACTCTCGAGTAGCTGGATCTCTAGTCCATTGGAAGGCCCATCCATTAGATATTGTCATCCGCAGTAATAACCGTTCGAACTTTGGTTTCTCTTTTTCAGTAACATTTCTAACCATAAATTTTGCTATAGAACTTGTTGGTTTTTTTATTA